AAAAAAAAAAAAAAAAAAAAAAAAAAAAAGCCTTTGTTGCCTGCCTTGCAGCGCACAGTGCAGAATTCTCAGCAGAGCACCCCGTTTCCCTCCCTGGGACCTGAGAGGAGAGTGAGAGCCTAGTTCTGGTCCTCGCCTCAGGTGGGAGGAGCAGAGAGGACGCTGGCTGTTAGGTCAAGATGAGGCCCTGAGGACAGAGCAAGGAAGCCCCAAGGCCGCGAAAGGGGCCCAGGCAGTTCAGATCTGCCTCTGTTACAGCCCAGCACCCTGGGCAGGCAAAGAATTTCCCAAGGCATCCCCCCTTTTCCCTGGGCGCACCAGGAGAGCAGCAGAACCTTTGTAGACCTGCGCTTCAGGTCTCGGTTGGGTCACAGTGAGAGGCTGAGGGGCACTGCGCAGGCCTCAGCTGAAACAGTTTCCCCAGCTAATCCGGATCTCCAGCTGCCGTCGGCACTGGGCCACTCGGGGCCGGTGTGTCACGGGGCCGGTGTGTCAGGATGAGTCCCTACCCAGGGGCTCATGAACCCCTCTGAATTTGTCCACATCCAGCTCTTGCCCCCTGGGCAGCTGGGTGCGGATGCGAGTCCCCCTCACTGCCTTTGCTCACCTTCTCGGGAAGGTGAGCACTTGTCCTGAGAGTGGGCTTTAGGCCGCAGAGGGCTGGGGTCCAGGTACTGCCCCCAGGGACAGATGAGGATCTGGAGGAAGCAGAGAGGGGACCTCATAGTCACCTCCCCTAGGGCTTGCACCTCTGGGGTCACAGGGAGATGGTGGCTTTGGATTGCAAGATGCATGCACAGGTCAGCAGCGGGAGGAGGGCTTCTGTTACCTGGTCCTTCTCTCCAAACCCTGGGGAAAGCCCATGCACGGGGTGCACACGCACTGCATCTCATTTCTGTCTGCTTGAGCTCAGGGACAGCCCGCCTCGGTGTGCAGTTGGTCACCAAGTCAACAGAGGAGCCACGCCTGGTCAGCAGAGGGAGGAGGCCAGGACCTGCCAGCAGACCTGGGGTGAGGATTGAAAGGGTTTTTGTTGTAATGCATAGTGATTAAGTTCATGGTGGAGAATTGGCACATGAGATATATATAGATATATATATTTGTAGGACATAATGACTACATTTTCATAGTGACTTTGTACATGTGCATTCTTCACAATTTCTCCCTTTTAATGGGATTTCCCCCTCTTCCATTGCCTGCCCTATGTACCTTGCTTCCCTTCTCATATACTAAAAATCTATCTGACAATTGACTGTTATCTATCATTTAGTTTGGTTTTTCTTTACATTTTCAGTTTCTCATATAAGAAAATCTATTTTAGGGCCAAGGATATAGCTCAGTGGCATAAGCACCTGCCTGGCAAGCGCAAGGTCCTGAGTTCGATTCCCAGTACCAAAAAAAAAAAAAAAGGAAAAGAAAAACCATTTGGTATTTAAACCTGTGAGTCTGATTTATTTTGCTTAACATTATGGTCTCAAGATGCATCCATTTTCCTACATATGATTCAGGATTATCTATTTTTGGCACATAGTACCCCATTTTATGTAAAAAAGACAAAACCCTGCATTTTCCTTATCCATTCATCTGTTGATAGAAATACAGGCCACTTCCAATATTTAGCTATTGTGAACTGTGCTACTATATACATGTATATGTATGCAACACTGTAATATGATGTCTTTTATTCTTTCGGGATGATAACTAAAATGGAAATATCTGGGGTGACTATAAATTTTAACGTTTTCTAGAGAATCTCCCGACAGATTTTCATAGTGGTTGTACCGGTTTACATTCCCACCAAGAATTAAGAAGTGTTCATTTTTCCTCACAGGCTTGGCAGCATTTTCTAGTATTTGATTTTTTTGAAGACAGCTATTCTTTCTGGAGTGAGACTGAATCTGTGTTGTTTTCATTTGCATTTTATGAACGGTGAGCAATGCTGAACATTTTTCATGTATTTTTTGGCCATTAATACTCTTCATCTGAGAAGTATCTATTCATTTAAATGACCATTTCTTGATTGCATCTTTTAATTTCAGAGGTTTAATTTTTTTTAGTTATTTATATATTCTAGATATTAGCCTTTTGTCTGAGGAGTAACTGGTAAAACTTTTTTCCAGTTCTACAGGTTGTCTCTTCACTCTGTTGGGTGTTTCTTTTGCTGTGAAGAAGCTTTCTAATTTTATTTGATCCCATTTGTGGTTTCTTGGTAATATTTCTTGTGCAACTGGCATTCTATTTGGAAGTTGTTGGCTATGCATTACTCTTCCAGAGATTTACCTAATTTGTCTCACTGCAGATTGTGTTTTCTTTTAATATTTAGATCTTTGATTCATTTTGATTTTATTTTAGGGCATACTGACCGATAAAGGTGGGGGTTTAACTTTTGAGATTTGGATAGCCAGTTTTCCTTGCACCACTTGTTAAAGAGGATACTCTTGCTCCAGCAAAAGTATTTAGTCTCCTTGTCAAGGAAAAGACAGTTGTGTTACTTAGAGTGGTTTCTGTATCCTGTATTCTGTTGATCCACAAGTCTGTTTTTTTGTTTTGTTTTGCTTTTGTTTTGTTTTGTTGTTTGCCAATATCATGCTGTTTTAATCCAAGTAGCTTTGTATTATAACTTGAAGTCTAGGATGATGATGCCCCCCTGCCTTGCTCTTCTTGCCCAAGATTGCTTTTACTGTTCTAGGTCTCTTCTGGTTTCATATAAATTTTAGGATCGTGTTCTCTTGTTCTATGGGGAATGCTATTGGTATTTAGATTCACATTGCATTAAATCTAGCTAACAGGTATACAGTTATGGCCAGCTTGTCTATATTGGTTCTGCCTATGCAGAATCAGAGGATGTCTTTGCATTTTATGATACTGTCTTCAATCTTCTTTTCAAACTACTGAAATTTACTGCAGTGAAACTAGAAATCAAAAAAAAAAATAGTTTGATTCTAGAAACTAATTATTTTCTTGCTGTTTTCCATGACCCATTGATTATTCAAGAGAGTAATATTTACTTTCTATATGTCTGCAAAGTCTCTATGGTTTCTTTTGCCATTAATTTCTAGTTTCATTGCATTATCTTCCAATAATAAGCCTGGAATGATTTTCACTCTTTTGCATTTGCTCTAGCATGCTTTCTGGGCTAGAATGTGGTCTATTTTGGAGAAAGTACCATATGCTGTTGAGCAGAACATGTATTCCTTTGTTGGCCAGAACATTGTTGATATCTAGCAAGTCCATTTATTTAAAGATTTGGTTGAACTCTGGTATTCCTTTGTTGATTTTTTGGCTAGTAGATTGATCTATATGTGACAGTGGGGTATTATGACAGTGAAGTGTAGTGACAGTGGGGTATGTAATTCTGTTGGTGCTTACCTGATTTTTTATGTCCATTAGTGTTTATTTTATGAAGCTGGGTGTGCAATTTTTGTTATATCTATGTTTATAATTGTTATCGCTCTGTGTTGAATTGCTCCATTGACCATTATATGGTTACCTTCTATGTCTCTTCTGATCAGTTTGGCTTGAAACTCACTTCGTCTGAAATTAAGCTAGTTACTCCTGCTTTTCTGTGGGTTTTTGTTATGTGGAATATTGTTTTCCAACCTTTGATTTCCAATCTGTGAATTTTTTTGAATTAAATGTTTTCTGTACAGGATATTTTATATCATTGCAGTTTTTTCTTCTTGATTCATTCTGCCAATCTGTGTCTTTTGACTGGGGAACTGAGACCTTTCATGTTGGGAGCTGTTACTGGAAGGAATTGACTTATTCTCGTAATTGCATTATTTGCCGGTTGTTGATTTTCATATAGTTTTTTCCTTCTGTTTAGGTGCCCATCCTGCCAGGGGTGCTCATTCATTTAACTTTTTGGCATTGCTGTTTCATTGTATCTTTCTACATTGTCTCTTTCCATCTTCCTAGGAATTTCTTGAGGTGCTTGCTTCTCCTCATGGGAAGAATGTATTTCTCTATCAGTTTTGAAGGAACGTTTTGCAGCACGTAGATATCTGGGTTGGAAATTTTTCTTTTGGGGCTTGAAACACTTCACTCCAAGCTCTCTAGGTCCTTATGGTTTGTGTTCAGAAGTCTGCAGTTATTCTAGTCAGTCTACCTTTATAAATGATTCATTGCTTTTTCCTGACAGTTTTTAGATTTTGGCCTTAGGTCTGCTGTTTAGAGAATGATATTTCATGGAGTTTTTCTTTTGGTCATTACTGTTTGTTGTATATGCCTTATTTATTTACATATTTATGTTTTTTACCACTATCTAAGTTTTCTGCTATTATTTATGCAAAATAGTTTTTATGTCATTTGTAGTGTCTTCTGATTTTTCTTATATTCCTGTTAGTTTGAAAATAACTTTCTTTTAAGGGGCTTTTTATAGACTTTTTTGCTTGTTTGTTGGGCTTTTTTGTTTTGTTTTGTTTTGTTTTCCTTTGTTTTGTTTTGTACCAGGAATTAAACTGAGGGACTCACACTTGTCAGGCAGGCATTGCACTGCTGAGCTAAGTCCCCAGCCGTAGTCTTCTTTGTTTATCTAGCAGCTGTTGGATCCATTTTTATGTTGGGCTGTGGCATTAAATGTATTTTTGTGTACTTTTTCTTTGAGAACATCTCTTATCTTCTAATTTTGAAATTCTGCCCTCACATTGGTTGCTTCTGTTGTCCATAGTTTCTATATAATTTTTAATTCCCTGGATTACTGATTAAAACCTTTTCATAGACTCTACTTTTTTGTTAAACTGTTTATTCATATTTTCTATCATTTTCTTTAGCTCAACTCACTTTTCATTATTGTGTTCTAAAAACTCCTTGATTATTTCTATAATTACTTCTGTTATCTGTTTAGTTATATCTTCTGAGATTATGCCTAACACTTCTTTGATTTGTTTTCTAATCTCCTCTGTTAGCCTTGAGGTAATTTGGGTGTGTTGCTTTTACTGTTCTCCCTCTCAACACCCCCTGGTTTTAGGGAATTTGAAAGTTCTGGGAGGCATTTTGTGGACTTGTCTACTGGCATTTCTATTGCCTTTCGGTTTGTTTTGTTCTGTGTTGAAGTTTGGGGAGCTTACAGAGGAAATTCTTTGCTGCTAGCATAGAGATCTTTTTAATTAGTTGGCTTTTCAGTGATGTAATAGGGGCAAAGCTGACTATAGCTCTTTAACTGAGTCCTAAAATCCAACCACTTCTCTTAATTTGGAAATGGGGTATGGAGTATAATTGGCCCAAGACCAAGCTGTCTGGGCATGTAGCCCAGTATTGTTAATGTTAAAAATGTAGTCTGTGTGTTGGCATACAGACAAAATCTACTGATGTCAACAATTGTGTGACCCTGGCAATTTCAAGCAAATCACCTACTGTGGTATTGTCCAAGACAAATCGGACATTAGTATACCATAGGAACCAATGTGACAGCACCCTTAAACATAGAAAGGAAATCCACCATTATAGTATGAATATTATGACAAACTAGATATTGACATATAGCTAATATGTGCTAAATGTGACAACTATAGCTGCTCATTGTACAAAGAACTTAACAGTAATGTTATAGAGTTAAATATCTAAAGATTATTAAAGCTTAATGATTATTCTATTAAAGATATAGCAGGTTGGGAAAAGGGGAATGCCAGAAGAAAATTGTGAAAACTGAAACTCTTGCATGTGAGAAGATAGTGGCATGAATGATCCAATCAGTCTTTTTTTTTTTTTTTTTTTTTTTTTTTTGGGTACTGGGAATCAAACTCACAGCCTCATAGCCTCATGCTTTCCAGGCAGGTGCTATGCTGCTGAGCTAAATTCCTAGCTGAATGATCCTATTGAGTACTAGAAGAATGTCTATAAAATTAATAAAGATAACCAAAAAAACTGAAGAAAAATGTAAGTTAACAGAAATCAAGGGAGAAAAGGATGGACATTATATGACTAATAAAAATTAGAAAATAATAAAGTGAATAATTAATGGTAAAAGAGGTTAAAAAATGATGTAAAAAAAGAAAGAAGAACAAGAAAGACAAACATTTCTTTGTGATGTTGAATGAGTAGTTTCCTTTCTGGATCCAGAATTGTGAGGTATGGCAGTTCTCCACTTTCTGAGGCCCCTTATGCTTTTTCCAGGTTGTGGCTGTGTCCAAGTGGTGAAGTGTTCCTGCTCACACTGGTAGACGAGGAAGGCAGCCAGCCTGCAGGTCCACGCTGGATACAGGCAAAGGGGCAAAGGCTCAAATGCACACTGCCAAGACTTTGCAACACAGAAGAACTCAGGCTCAGCCTGGCCTCAGGCTCCTGGTGGCAGGGCTGTGTCCTTTGCAACTTAATCAGACCCCTCACGTTTTCTCTTTCCAGTCTGTTCCCGGTCCACAGCTGTTTCCTGCTGCTGTTGCTCACACAGTAGCAGTGAGGATATAACACTGGGAACCCTGACATGTAGCCATCCCATAGCTGTTCTGAGTCCCCGGCTCAAACATTTAAGCCTTTGCCCCAGTGGAATCCAGGCCCACACTCTCTCCAGGGAAGGATATGGCAGTACCTGCATTCAGGAAAGTTACCCGCCTTTACTTTTATAAGGACTCTGTGACAGCAGAACTCAGTATTGTCCCTGCAGATCTCAGCAAGTGCCAGGCCATTGAAACAGTGCCTCTTCTCCCTGGGACCTCCTGAAATCCCGAAGTTTCCCTTAGTTTCCACAGATTCAGTCTCCCTTTTCAGTGTGCCAGGAGCCAGGGAGGAAGTCCAGACTGTTTTTTTCCTTCTCCACATTGCAGGCTGTCTCTTCAGCGTCTGTGTACTTTTTAATTTTCCTGTGAGCCACTTCCTGATTCCCTGACACCTTCTTCTCCATTTTTTTTACTTCCTCAGGTTGTTATATTTCAGCATCTCAATTCTGAGTCTGTGGGAGGCTGAACTGCTGCTGCTCACCACTCCTTCATTTTCCAGCACAGAACACCTGAAGGTAACCCACATTCCTGTAAAGAAGGGGCCCACAGAACCTGAGTTGCCCTGTTCTCACCCTGGAATTCCAGTGAGAATGGCTATATGCCAATTTCTGTCATTTATGCTAATTTGGGGGGGTGAGAGGACTCTAGGAGGTAAGGACCTTGATCCAAGAAGTGACCAGAGCCGGGAGAGGGACCTACATATGGCCAGCAGAAGGAGGAGCCCAAGAGCTGCCAGCCTCATGCTACTGACCCTTCCTGAGGATTATGGGTGTCCACTCTCCAGAAACAACAGATCCATAGAGTGTCCCTGTTCCCAGGCGTCATCCCTGAGAGGCTCCTAATTGGCATGCAGACTTCTGCCATGGGCCAGAATGGAGTCATCAGGGGAAGAAGTCCTGGTCTCAAAGGGAGAAATCAGCTCATCTTGGGTGTGGCGGGCTTGAGGGAAGGCAAGCTTCAACAGGAGGATGATGGAGAAATTACAGAAGCACATGGGGCTATCTTACATTCTCACTGCTGAGACCCATTAGCTGACCTCTGAGTTTAGTGGAAGAGAAGTTGATCTGGGCTCACAACTTACAGAGGTTACAGTTCATATTCAGTCAGATCCAATGCAGAGCAATGCAGTAGAAAGGTCTGGCAGAAGGAAAGCTATGAACTACAAGTCCCTCCAGGAGGCCTGCAGTGAAGGGAGGAGACAGGACAGAAGATATAACCTTCCCTGTCATACTCACAGTGATCCTCCGCTTTCTAAAAGACCCCAACCTCCTATCATCTTCTAAAGGTCCTACCTATGATCCTGGGGGACTTTCCAGGGAAATTTAGACTGAAAGCATAATAGGGTCAGTGCATCATGGGAGAGATGGGCACAGGCCTTGCAGTCAGGACTGAAGTCTTCATGTCGGGGTGACAGGATGGGCTCCTGCTCACTTCTTTGGAGAATCTTGGAGAGTTCATGGAGCTGAGGGACTTGATCTGAGATCGGGTCTTCAGATCGGCACAGAGAATTCTATCTGGTCAGGAGACACACTTCCCATACCTGCCAAGAGTGAAGTTAGGACCGTAAGGGAGGCCAGAGGGTTCCCCTGCCCAGAACACAGACAGCTGGGTTCTCCACAGACATCTACCTTTCAGCTTGGTCATCCCGGGAAACCTGGTCAGGGCTGTAAGGCTGAGGCTGCTCTCTTAGTGCTGCGTCCCTGGTCTCAGTGAGCTGAGGGCCTTGTAGGAGGGGGATGCAGCAAGGAGAGGAGAAAGAGGATGCTGAGCCATAGCAGGAGTTTGGGCAAAGTGGAGCCCCTCAGCTCAACACACAGGACACCCCCAGCCTGTCCCTTTGTCACCTATCACCAGACCCAGGGAGCACAGATGGAATGAATTCCCCTCTCTCCCTCTTTGAATGTCTGACAGAGAATAGGGCTACGGATTCAAGAAGGTGGCCTCAGGTCATCCGAGAGAGAGTCCCAGACCTTCCCATGTATCAGGATAAGAATGGAGCAGGTTTGGGCCAGGGATACAGCTCAGCGGTCCAAGCGCCTACCTGACAAGCGCAAGGTCCCGAGTTCGATTCCTGAAAAAAAAAAAAAAAAAAAAAAAAAAGAATAGAGCAGGTTCCCTTTCCTAGGAAAAGTGGACCCCACTGAATTTTTCTATCTCTTGCTGTTACACCTGGGTGTCTGTGTCCAGGTATGAGTCCCTGTCCCTGCCTTGTGTTCCTTCTCAAGGACATGTGCAATTTTCCTGAGAGTTGGACCCAAGCTGGCAGAGGGCTGGGTTCCAGGCCCTGCCAAGGACAGTTGAGATTCTTTAGTGAGAAGAGAGGTAACTACCCACTCAGAATAGTGGAGACCTCACAGAATCCAGCCCAGCCTTTCCATAAAGGCAGCAGGACTGTGCTTGAGGTCTGCAGCCGGAGGGCCTCTGTGCCTCTTACAGGAGCACCGGGAGCCAGGCAGTAAAGCTCTTGGTCTGAGGCAGTGTCCTCAGGTCACACAGCAGAGGAGACCCAGGCATCAAGGAGAGGTTCATCCCCTGAATGTGTACCTAGGTTTCACCTCCCCATGGACAAATAAGACTGCTTGTGCCCGGGCCCCACAAGCCCTACTATCTGCCCTAGAGCCTGTCCCCTGCAATTGAGCTGTAACCTGAGCAGCAGTCTCAATTCCTGTCCGGGGTTCTTGGGGACAGAGCCTCCAGGAGGACACGAGGCCATGAGGCCCTACAGCACCACCCAGAGCAAGAACTATAATCGACCTTTGTGGAAGTGCTATTCTCAGCTAAGGACACTCACCGTCTCCCTCTCTCCTCCAGGTGTCTGAGTGCTCATCGCCAATCTCTTTCTGTCACCAGGAACCCGAGAACATCTTCATAGTCAGAGGAGCCAGCTCAGCACACCAGGGGGAGGCCGTCCTGCACAAGGAGGGACACGGACTTGGGGGAGCTGCAGGCTCTGAAGCCTGAGGGGAGCGAGTAGCAGCCACTGCTTCCTCTGCCTCCTCCTCCTCTTACTAAGAACCCTGCTAGTCCAAGAGAGGTGCCTCAGGCTGTGACACAAAGTTGTCCTCAGAATCCTCAGGGTGTCTTCCTGCCCCGCACTGCCATGGCTTCCAGTCAAAGTAGCCAGTCTGATGAGGGCTCCACCAGGGAACGTGAGGAGCTTCCATGCACCTCACGGGACCAGGGAGGTCCTCAGCCTCGTCCTCAGCTGGGTCTTCAGCCCCTGTGTGATGTGGTCTTGCACAAAAAGGTAGATGAATTGGTGGATTTCCTGCTCCTCAAGTATAACAATAAGGATGTGGTCACCAAGGCAGAATTGCTGCACAGTATCAAGGATTACCAGGAGCACTTCCCTCTGATCTTTAGCAAAGTCTCTGAGTGCCTGTACATGGTCTTTGGCATTGATGTGAAGGAAGTGGATCCCCCTGGGCACATATATGCCCTTCTCCCTGTCCTAGGTCTCACCTATAATAAAACATTAGGTGGTGAGCAGGGCATTCCCAAAAACAGCCTCCTGATAATCATGCTGAGTGCCATCTTCACTAATGGCAACCATGTCAGTGAGGAGGTTGTGTGGGAAATGCTCAGTAGGATGCAGGTGTTTGATGGGGTAGAGCACTGCATCTATGGGGAGCCCAGGAAATTGATCACCGAGGAGTTGGTGCAGGAAGGGTATCTAGAGTATCATGAGGTGCCCAACAGCGACCCTGCTTGCTATGAGTTCCTGTGGGGTCCAAGGGCCTATGCTGAAACCACCAAGATGAAAGTGCTGGAGCATTTGGCCAAGGTTCATGGGACAGATCCCTTGTCCTACCCACGTCTCTATGCAGAGGCTTTGAGAGAGGAGGAAGAGGCTGCCCATGTGTGACTTTTAGTCAAGGCCGCAGATGGGGCAAGGTGCACGCAGGGACGGGACATGTTCGAGCACTACCTCACTAGCGTAGCTCCCACCCCATGTGACATGAGGTCAGCTCTACAGTCTTCTTGAGGAGAGCGGGCAGTTTTCTAAGTAGTGATGGCCAGGGTAGGATGGGAAAACACAGTCCATACTTTTTGATGTCTGTTTTGTTTGGATTACTTGGAAATGGACATGTGACTTCTTTATTATTTTTTCAAATCTCTTTCCTTTTTTGTAAGATTCATTGTGATTCTGATGTGAATACGATTTTGTGTGATACTGATCACACAGGAATTTTGGTCTTCTTTTCCAAGTGCTAGAATCTCTGCTGTATTGTAAATCATTTTATTTGTGATATGGAAGAAGATAATATAGCATTTGAATAGGAATTTCCTTGGAAGTATGTAAGAAGTGTGCATCACTTTAGATGGAGTCCAGAAATAGACATAAAGACAAAAGTCAATTCTTGGGTTCCTGGTTTTTTTTTCCTTGTTGTTGTATACTATATATGTATACCTGAACATGCTTGGGGTTTTTTTGTTATATTAGGAAATGTACTGTCAATAAAGAAGCTGCTCTGCTCACATTGACTCCTTTGTTGCAGTGGGCACTTTGGAAGGCCCTGTGTGTGTGGCAGAGATATGAATACGCTAGACTGAGCAGGATCAACCTACCCTATAGGATGGTGAGGAACAGGAGAACCATCAGTGCTGGGAGATAGAGAGATGGCCTCAAGGACTTAAAGGCCATGCAAAAGAGCTCTGAGGGGAGGGTCTAGCAGAGAGCAGCCGCATGTGAGTGCTGAGCCAGGGCATTTGGGGCTTCAAGTCGCTGCAGGTTGATGTGATGCAGCTGCAAGGTGGCCAGGCCAGAACCTCAGATGAGACAAAAGCCTGAGAGGGTGGAGGACTGCTCTGAGCGGCGCTTTTGCATGGTGGGTGAAGCAGAGAGGAATGCTCACTGGGACAGCAATGAGAAGTGTGGTCCTATGCAGGGCAGGAACCGGGAGACTTATCCCCTGCCTCTACGAGGTTTGCCTGAGGGATAAGGATGACTTTCAAGGGAAGTGAGGCCCTAATGTTCCTGGCCAGGTGCTCTGCTCTCTGCAGGGAGAGTCCACTTTCCAGTGTCTGCCGTCACACTGGAGACAACTTGTCCACTTTTAGTCCACTTTGCCTGAAAACTCTTCAAAGATGGCTGTCAGCATCTGGCCAATGTCACGGCCAGGTGCGCAAGTGGTCAGAAAACTGCCTGACCTAGAGGTTCTCCCTCCAGAGAGTATTCTCAGGGTTTGTGAGAGCCTTCCCCCATCATAGCTGGAATAACCTGAGGCCTACTGGGCTCGGGAACTTCGCAGGATCCCTATGTGGCAAATGACAAGGCCAGGAATAGAGTCTTAAGTGTGAGGTCATATAGAGGTCACCCAGGGGCTGGGGATTTAGCTCAGCGGCAAAAGCGCCTGCCTGGCAAGCGCAAGGTCGTGAGTTCGCTTCCCAGTACTGGAGAAAAAACAAAAAAAATAAAATAGAGGCCACCCGGTTCCCACTCCTCCCAACCTCAACCCAGCTCTGCTTCTGAATTTTTTTCCATACTTAGAGAAATTTTTAAAATACCTTTCAGGGTATAGGAAGACTCTATGTCCAACATACTGAAACCTGGCCTGAATTCAGAATGTAAAACTGAGCAGGCCATGGGTGCACCCTACTCCCACGGGAACTGGCCACACTCACCTGTCCTGGACAACGTCATGTAGAAGTCCCTGCCTTTCCCTTTGCTCATCCTGGAAATGCTGCAATAGCAACAGCTTTTTTGACATAACAGTAAACTTTGGACTGTGATGTTTAGATCATGGGTTATAGGCCCAAGAAGCCAAATAACACAGTCAAAATTTCCCAAATGGGTGATAAGTTGTTTGACACAGTGCATAATCTACTCGTCTTGGCGGGTAAATTAGGATACTTTTGAGATCAACTTGACATTCTCATAGTATTTTAACAGAATGAGTTACTACAAAAGGTCCGTGGAACACTTAAGTAGGTACATGAGCTTATGAGGGTGGCCAAACCCCAAAGTTCCCTGAGAAGCTGTAGGTGAGGTAGGACCATGCACACCACATCTACTGAGGCTAAACTCCAAACCCTGAAGTCCCCTACGTAGGTGCTAAGTGCTTTTGTTGATATTAAAATAGAAATAAAAAACATCCTATTTCTCCAGTCTCTGGTGTGTGCCCCTCCCCCAGGGCAGTCCTGGTTTGCAGCGTGCTGAATGGCACTGGTCCTGATGGTAAGACGGACAGCCATGTGCGCTACAGGAACTGCTCACAGCTTAGCAGACTGGCCGTGAACCCAAAGACAGCAGGAAATTCTCAGCTTGCTTAGACTGGAGGTTATTGTGAAAGAAGAATAGAAAAGTGCTAGTGAAGAACAACCTTCCTTCCTGCTAATATTTTGCGATAATATGCACATAAGATTCGTTCTATATCGGAAGCAACTGTCCTATAGGAGGTGGCACTTGAAAGGGCTGGGGAATTTCCACACCTATCTCACCTCTATAACTCATCCCAGAACAGAAGAGAACTTTATCTTAACAAATCATATGTGCTGAATTTGGGTGAGCATCTACTTTGTGACCATTTACAGTGGCACTACAAGTCCTTACACAGCTCTCCTTCCCCACATGTTTAGCCATGGGGCCACTGCAGACCACTTGTCCTTAGCAGAGGTCACTAGATGATTGTGTGCCACGGAAATACTAGCAGTGCCATGATGTGTGAATTACAGCTATTTTTACAAGTGCTGTTGCGGGAGCTCTGGATTAGTCCTGTCCACACAGCATACAAAACTGTGTGTTTGCACACCTAGGAGGCTTAGCCATGCGCATTCAACCCTCTGACAGGAGCAAGCTGATTCTGGACCTTGAAGGCCCCGGGCAGGAGCCGCCCCACAGGTGCTGCCTGCAGAGTTTCCTTCACGCCTCCCACTCCCTCAGGCTCCTGAGCACACCTGTCAGTCCCCTGACTGCGGTGATGTCCTCCCCAGTGTGAATGCCAGCTGTGGCCCAAATCACCCAAATTGCTGTGCTCACTGGAGGTTTCCTCCTCCTGTGGCTCTGCCCACTGGCCCGCCCTCTCCGGGACCCGGCCTCAGCCTGCCCCATGTGGAGCACTATGCTCTCTGTGTCCCTACTCCCACCCGCTCAGCACAAGACATGAGCCGGCGCGGATGGGAACACGCAGGTATCACCACCTGAAGGTCCCCGGGAAGAATTACGATAGGAAGCTCTTTCTGTGCGTTTCCAGAGGGGCTGAGGTGTGCCCCCAACAGAAGAGTACAGAGAACACGATTCTCACTCCACGCGAGACGTGTTAAAGCAGACTCAGGTCTCAGAGCGGAGTGGGGAGCAGGCGCTCCACGGCCGGTCAGCTCGGATGGGAGCCTTGACTGAACAGACTCCTCTAAGAAGTGGATGAAACGCTACTTCCCCACCAGGAAGGTTCACAGCCTCGAAGACTACACCTCGAGGATGCTCCTGATCTTGTCCTAAAGCAGCTCTCATGAGAAAGGGTAGCGTACAGATAACGCGCCCTCCTTTTCCTTTGGGTGCGAAACCACAGGCCTAGTCTACTGTCTGTTCCAGGTGTTCTCAGGGTCAGCCGGCACCTGTTCTGTTCTTGGTAGAGGTGCAGGTCACTCAGGCTCATATGCTTAGGGTCATTTGTTTCCGGATGACCAAGCTGAAGGAGGCCATACAATTTGGCAAAAAGAAAACGAATACTGACTCAAAGCTGGCCCTGAGAGGGGCCATGGCTCTTTTGCCTCAGATCACCATCTCACCTTGCACAGGTGGGCAAGGGCTTTTCATTGCTAGGAGCAGAGGGCAGAGAGCGCACAGAAAGAAAATGTAGATCTCCGCACTCGCTTTGTCATTTGCAGCCACTTCAGCTCTTTCTCCACCTTCCTGCGGGAAGGATACCAGGATCCAGCCTCTTGGACCTGGTGACATGTGCATATTCTGTCACTTCTTTGGCCTGCAGAGGGGAGGGTGTGTTGTTATGTACCCAGCAGGAGGAAGTCTGGATCAGTTGCTTATCTCTAAAAGAAAAAGAAATCGAATTTTCAAAGTCGCACTTTGTGGGGAGATTAGAGTAGCACAGGTGGTGGTGCAATCCAGACCGCCCCCCTCAGGCTTCTGAGCCCTTTCCGGGCTATGGAGAGAGCCTGCCCACTTACGCAGAAAGCGGGCGGGGGTCCCAAGACCTATTCCCGGGCGATTGCCGGTCCACGTCTCACTTCCTGTTATGTAAGAGCATCCCGCCTTCTTCTGACCAACAGAGTCGTTTACTCCTGACTGGACTGTGGCTCCTGCCACTGCCTAGTACACCAAACCCACGGAGCCCACGGCCTGCAGGAAGGGCTCAGGGGGTGGCTCCGTCCCCCAGTGTTGTTTTAACAGGTACAAGGTCCAGCCTTTGAGCAATCCGTCCCCAGCCCTGAAAATTACCCAAGGGACAGCTAAATTATAAAGCTCAGTAGGACTCGGACTGGGTCTGTCGGTGGAAGTAGTCTCCGTGAATGATTGTACTTAGCCAGCTCTGTCCAGTACGTCGCCATGTACTACTGAAATGTGCCTAGCCTTATTGAGGAGCCACAATTTGAATTCAATTTTATAAGGCTTTATAAAGCTGCAAATGGGTAAACCTTACTGGGCAGCACAGGTGGAGAAGTTGAGAATCTAAACTTGTGGGGCAGGGAGTGCAAATTCCCATGGAAGACACAGGGAGTGGTAAGAAGTGGGGTCACTGGCATCTCAGTTCAGGGAACCTGCGTTTCACTGACTGCGGGCAGTCAAGGATAGTACATCTGGAGGGCATTTTACTGTAGAAGGTGACAGCCCGTCCTTACAGGTTAGCATTTTCTAGCTTGGGATGCATTTGCACTTAGCAGTAGCTGTTGCATTACTCCAGAGCACCAGCAACTCCTGGGGAATCCAGTATGAGACAGCAACTTTGGATCTCCTATCCTGTGCCCACTGGAAACCTGCCTTGCTCTACGTGGTATTAGGGTTCAGGTGATCATACAAAATGCCCTGAATTCGTGACCCAGCTCCCTTGAAGGATTCTGTCAGTGGTGCCTGACAAAACACTACAAGCAAGGTAGTCAGACTCATACTTCACACATGCACAATTTCCAGTAAAGAAACACGTCTGCCCTCTGAGTTATAATCATCTACACGTAGCGAGGCTGTCTCTGTGAGGGATGTGTCGTACTGGACATTCAGGGCTGGTCCTTATCACTGGCAGGTTATACACGTGGCAGCAGCAGCAGCTGGATAAGCCTTTATGACCGGGATCCCATGCTGGTGGCCTCATATGGAGCGTGCATTCCTTCCACCCTGGCTGCTCCACACGGCAGGGCATCGTGTAGCACTGCTGCTGCCAGTGACAGAGGCTGGTGGGTACCAACCACTCTGCTCATCCTTTCTTGACTGTTCAGTGCCTCTTGGCCGTGAATACTTTTGTTAGCATTATAGGAGAACAAATATTTTCACATTTAGTGTCTTTTCCCATAGGTTCATAAATATGC